AAACTTTTCTGACCCAACTGCCACAGATTTTTGCTCCCTCCCCTCAAATGAGCCCTCAATGTGGCCTCCAGATCCTTGTACTTCTTACTCAGTCCCCATCTTTTCTTCTCTGCAGTCACTGTTCTAAACCATTTCTGCTCCCCCTTTCCCTGTCACACGACCCTGCCTCTATAAGGGTCTCTAAAGGAGATAAGTCTAAGGGGAATTACCTCCACCCCCTCTTCTGCTTCCTTAGAACTTCTCTGTCCTCACTGATCCACTTGTCAATCCTTCTGCTGTGACATCTTCACATTCTACTGTATCTCCTATTAGGCTGAACATCATCCTTTTTGTACTCCCAGCCATTTGCACACAGCACGAACTCTACAGATATTTACAGATGCTTACATTCAGTATGTTTATTTGGGCTCCCTCTATGAGCTCCTTCTGAGCCTAGGTCCTCTCCCCTCCTGTCCAGCCTCATGACAAGACGGCCCTCCTCATTATCAAGGCTAGTCCCTCCGTGGACGCCCTTGACATCGCCCCCTTCTGTCTTCTCACTGAGCCTCCTTTGTTCTGGTCTGCCTGCTCTTAGTCACCATTCACCTCTCTCCAGTGACTCCTCGCCCTTAGCCTGTGAGCTCACTCATCTCCCCACACTGAATTAAAGCTCTTTCCTCCTAACCCATCCACCTTCTCTCCAGCTCCTCACCTCTTTAACTTCCAGAAAGGAGAGACGATGCTCAACCTCTCTGCACACACGTAATCCTTGACCCCTTGCCGTGTAGACTCTATCCCACCAATCTCTTCGAAACTGCTCTCTCCAAGGTCACCAGTGTCTCTTTTTCACCACATCCAATGGCTCGGACCTCTTCAGGGCATCTGATACCAACAGACCCCCCCACTTCTTCCTTGGCTTTCATGCCATTCTCTCCCTTCATTCCCCTCCTCCCTGCCGTGCCGCTCATTCGCGGGCCCTTTCTTCTCCTCCTGCCTCAGCCCCAGGCTCTGTTTTTGATTCTCCTCTTCTCTGCCTACGCTCTCTCCCTCACTGTCGTGACTGCTTTTGCCACTTCTAATGGGATGACTTCCACATCTGCAGCTCCAGTCCCCAACTTCCCACAACTGCCCCCTGGACACCTTCACCTCAACAAGCTCAAAGAGCGTCTCCACCCAACTTCTCCATCCTCTTCCCCGTGCCCCCCAAGGTCTCTTGAGCTGCTAAGAGCACCAGCCTCCCCCTCATCCTTCACCAGGCACTTAGTACTCCCCAGATCTTCTCAGCTGGGGAGTGCTGTGGCTTCCCTGCCTTCCTGATGGGTCTTCCAGCGGTCCCACCCTTTCCCTGCCGCTGTAGCCCCTCAGAGGTCATGGCCTCGTGCTTCCGGACTGCTATTAAAAGCCCTTATTTGTTCTTCCTGCCTCTAACCTCTCCCCAACCAATACGGCCTTCACCCACTGCCATTATCATGACCCTTATTCCATGTCCCAGTCAGGTCCCCATTTGGCCCCCTGTACTTGCCAAATAGCTTCTAAATGCCTCGGCTACAATCTGGCTCCAGCGTGTGTATCTTTGCAAACTTCTCTCACACTGCTCCCCATTCATGGACCAGATTCCAGCAGAACAGCACACCATTCCCCATTCTCATCTTACCCTCTTCCATGTTTGTGCCTGTTTACACGACACCTGCCCATCTCCACCTGCTGAAACCCCTTTCTTTGAGCTACAGCTCAGATGTCAGCTCTTCCAGGAAGTTTTCCTTGACTTTCCTCCCTCTCCCGTCATACTAAGCTACAAGCATCATCTCCCTCCGAAAGCTTTAGATGGAACTTTCTGGACACCTGCCTCCTGTGCACTCAGAGCACGCTGCCTCAAATTACAGCTACTGGCTTCATGCCCCTCCTGGAGATGATAAACACCCTGCTCTTACAGACTGTTTGTTCTCCCAGTGCCTAGCACACAGTATGCCTTTAACCAACATTTATTCAATGAGCTGAGGACTGTCTTCTTTCCTGTCTAAAATCATTTCTTTAGAATGCTCACACAAATGTATGCACACACGTGCACACGTATATATGCATGCACATGAGCCCTTATCACATCTCTCCTAGATCGTTAGGTTTAGAGCTAAAAGGTGCCTGAGAGATCTACTCCAGCCCCCTCTCTCCATTTCGCAAATGAGGAAACTGAGGCTCAGAGAAATTCAGTGGCTCACTCAAGATCCTAGTGAGTTTGTCAGGGTTTGATATCAGGCCCTCTCATCCTGCAAGGGGAGCTTGAAAAAAATGCAGCCCAACCTTTTCCAGTGATGACCCCGCCGTTACAAGGCCCGCCTGCTCTGCATCTCACCTGCCCTACACCACAGCCACCACCTAGCTTTCTGAAAGAGCTGGGGTTGGATTGCCCTGACAGAACGGGTCATGTTTTCATTGGCCTCATGGATTTCATAAGATTCTTCAAATTAATTCCATGCTGCAGGGCCCAGCTCTGCAAAACTCAAGGGCGTAAATACCCTCCCAGAGATCACACTGACTTTCACAAATGAGCTTTATTAACACGGCCACCTCCCATCACATCAGACTGGCAGGAGGGCCGTCGCGAATCATGCAGTAAGCACAGGGGGCAAAATCAGGCAACTGCACAATCAAGCCCCCCCTGAGTGCCAGGAAATACCCGGACAACACAAAATGGGCCCTGCCCTCAGAGAGCTTCTATTCTGGGCGAGGCACAAAAGATGGACATAGGGATTACAGAGCGTGAGGAGTCTGGAGGCTGTGGAGGCACTTTCACACTCATTCACGCTCACAATTTTTAGCCTCACTGTCTCTGGAAAAGCCTCAGACATTTCCCAGCACTATAACTGGTTAAAAAGCAATGTAGGAAAACTTGCCTTCTCCTCCCTCAATCCACCTCGTTAATCACTGCACTTGACCCCAAACCCCATCTGCTCTCACCAGCAGCCAGTCACACTCAAAGTCCTGCAGGGACTCAGTGTACCTTGTCTGGCTCTAGTATCTACTCAGCTGGCCCTTGACAACCAATGCTAAAAGTAGTCAAGAGAGCTGCAACGCCAGGCTCGGGAGGCTGAGAAACACTTGAGGGAACCACACAAAGCTGATAAGATTCCCAAAATCTAAAACAAGACGTGATTTGGGACATTCTTCTAAATTCTGCAAACTACCACAAGAGGCTACAAGAATTAGGGGTGTGCACACTTTTTATTTAAATGTCTGAAATTTGGGATCCACATTTTGCTTCCTTTTCTATTTTTAACATTTAACACTCTAAATTTTTAAAAATTTTAAAAAAATTGCCAGCTTCTTCCATACTGAAAATGCATGTTTCCCTTCCCCCTACATTTTCAATCTTATGACAAGATTCTGAACTTTCTTAGAACTAGGAATGAGACAAGGTGCAGAGCACTTCACATCACCTTACTGGGTAATGTTCCCTTAGTGATTCATACCCAGATCCAATTACACAGCCCAGCGTGTCCTATGCTTTCTGTGACCATCTGAAACACGGCATTTTAATTTTTTTAAAATAATTTTTCATGACATAAATGGATAGAATCAAACAAAACTGGGATCCGTGTACTTATATTTAGTGTACCCAGAAAAACACTTTAAAAGGGCCCTCGATGAACTGAAAGAAATCTCTAGAGGTTCTCTCATTTCATGGGCTCCCCGCATTGCAGACGCAGCCCGGGCAGTAGCTGAACCGATGTTTACAAATGCTCAGGAACCGTCCGTCTGAAGGAATGATCCGCTACTTCATTAAATGTATTTAAAGCACCTCAAAAGAAGGAAAGAAAACACCCCTTAAAACAGTGCAGGAGCCTAAAAAAAAACCAAAACAGCGCAGGAGACAAACTATCTCCGCTCTCTGCTGACACTCCTCCAGAAAACTCCCTGGACAAGCACAGTCGATGGAGTAAACTCGATCGTCTTGCTTCTTGGGCACCAACACCTAAGAGAAGGGGACCACCGTCTACCTTTGGTTTGAACAGGGAGCCAGCCACAAAGAGCCGATGTGAGGCACCCGAAGAGGCCACGGGGCGGGCAGGGGAACCGCGGGCTTTCGGTCCCTGGGTGACCTCGCTCTCCCTTGTAAAGCAGGAACAGAAAGGCCTTGCACCAGCTCAATTTCACTGAAGCGCCTCCTCTCCCGGAGGGGACCAAGCCCTCTTCAGATCCCCGGCCTCCCGCTGCCCCTCGAGCCTCTGTGTTCCCATCCGCAGAAATGGGGGTTCAGGGCCGGCTCACACAGACAGGCGTATCCGGGACCCCCGGTCCCCCAGACCCCACGACCCGCCCTTTCATCACTGCTCACTCCCTGAAGCCAGGATGCCTCTGGCTGCGGCGTGACCCGAGGGAAAGGGCTTTCCCACTTGGGTCCTCAGTTTCCCCACCTGTAAAATGACGGGACCTGGGTTCAAATCCCGATTTTGCGGCTTGTCCCCGAGTGAGTGGCTGATTAATTTAGGAGTTCCTTCCTCGGTACAACAGGATGAACCGGGTGGTCCCTGAGGTACCGTCCTGCTCGTGTTCTAGCCTAACTCACTCAGCCTCTCTGTGCCTCAGTTTTCTCCTCTGTACAAGGGGCTGGATCAGATGGCCAGTTCTAGTTTGAGGATCCTGACGTCCCTCTGCGTGCCTCAGTTTCCCCTTCTGTACAAAGGGGAGGCTGCACTAATTGGCCTGAGGCTTTCCCTGCTCTAGCCCTGTGACCTGTCCTACTGCTCCGTGCCTCAGTTTCCCCATGAACTCCCTCCCGCTCTAGTTCTATAACCCTACGTCCCTTCCCGCTCCGAGCCTCAGTTTCCCCATCTGGGCGTGAGGCGGGGAGGGTGTATTCCCCGGCTTCCAAGCCCCCCAGAACCCTCCCCCCCACAGTAGGCGCCTAATAAAGGCTCCTGAGCGAGCGTCGCCGGCCACGGCCTGGCCCGAAGGGGCCGCGTCCACCCGCCCCGTGCCCCGCAGGTCCCCTCGCCGGGGCTGCCACGGCTCCCGGCCGTTACCTGTCACAGGTCGTCCCGTCCCGGGCCGGGCGCCGGACCGAGCGAGCCCCGCCCCCGGCCGCCTTTGCCGCCGCCGCGCGCGTCACGTCCCACGCGTCACTTCCGGACCCGCCCCCAGGCTGTCCTCAAGCGCCCTCCGCCATGGCGCCGCACACACTGCGCATGCGCCAAGCGCCAACGGCCCCCGGGAGTGCCTGTGAGTGCGTTGCCACGCTGGCCCGGCGGGCCCCGCCCCTTCTGGCCCCGCCCCTTCAGTGAGTACTTTTTTAAGAGGCCGCTAGGTGGCGCAATGGACAGAGCGCTGGGCCTAGAATCAGGAAGACCTGAGTTCAAAGCACACCTCAAGTACTTACTAGTTGTGTGACCCTGGACAAGTCACTTCACCCTGTCTGCCCCAGTTTCCTCATCTGCAAAATGAGATGGAGAAGGAAACGGCAAAGACTTGAGTCCATTCAGCACCTACTGTATACCAAGCGTTGGCCCCCCCCCCCACTGGGACAATAGCAAAATCTCTTAACCACAGAACCCAAAATCTGAATCAAAATCACAGACTCCACAGTCTCTCCACCCCAGAATTCCTTCGACAGACTCTTAGAACCCCAGAATCTCTCATTGACGAATCAGAACTTCTCAGAAGTTGTCTCTTCACAGAATCTCAGGATTTCGGTTTCGGAATCATCGCATGGTAATCACACACCTATCGTGTGTCGTTAGCGTGTCGCCTGCCCTTTTGGACCAGGAGCTCCTTGAGGGCAGGGGCTGTTCTTGCCTTTCTTTTCACTGTGGGGCATACAGTTGGCGCTTAATAAATGTTAACTGTCTGAAACTGATTATCGCCTTGAATCACGGAATCTCTTAATCACAAAACCCCAGGACTGCAGAATTGGAAGGGAATCCAGAAACCATCCAGTACCTTTAGAAAAAAGTGCGCTCTGTAAGACTGGCAAGGTTGTGCCCGCCGATCTCTCCGCTCCTTTCCGGCTATAACAATTACAGAGCCGACGAGCTTTACAGAAAAGTAGAGATGGCATGGCAGTTACCAGCAGAGGCCACAAGGCGGCAGTGCTCGAGCCGGCCTGACCAGAGATGTCAAAGATTCCAACAGAATCACAGAGTGCCGAGCCCAGCCTGGGGGATCACTGTGTTACTGTTCAGTCATTTCAATTCGTGTCTGACTCTTAGTGATCTCATTTGGGGTTTTCTTGGCAGAGAAGCTGGAGTGGGTTTCCATTGCCTTCTCTGGCTCATTTGACAGATGAGGAAACTGAGGCAAATAGGGTGAAGTGATTTGTCAGGAGGCCAGATTTGAACTCAGGAAGATGCATCTCCCAGACTCCAGGCCCAGTGCCCTAGGCACTATGGCGCCTCCTAGTGGCCCCTACTAAAATGGTATCACTTTGGCATTGTAAAATAACTTGAGAGCTTTCACTTTGAATACATTAGATCCTGGTAACAACCAGGAAGAGAGGTACTATCAGTTATATCCCCATTTTACAGATGAGGAAAGGCTATGAGCAGTGAAGTGACTTTCTTAGACCCTGTTTCTGTTGAGGGCATCACCATCTTTCCAAAGTCACCTAGGTTTAAAAGTATAATTACCTTTGACTTTTCTCTCTTCTGGGGTTGTGAAGAGACAGACCAATGGAAAAATGACTGAACACATGCACACACACACATACTATATGCTGGAAAGATCAGTTCTATTTCAATATTTCTAGCTCACATTTATATCAACCCCATGAATTAATCCAAAATCTCTATGCCATTGTTCTCCCTGAGAACATCAGAATTCAGTTCCTGTTTCCCTAATGACCCATAGAAGGCTCCTCTGCTACCAGACAGAGGATATAGGACTGATTTTATTTTAAATCAATCAAAAATGTAGAACAGATTCATACTGTAATGTTTAAAAAGTTTGAGAGAAATAATTTTTGGGTAATTAGTCATTTTACTAATAATGCTAGCATTTTAATGAAGAGGTCAGTGGCACTCTTGAATGCCAAAGATCCTCACAGGGCAGGCTCCAGGCTCATACGCCCTTGAAAAAGTGGGTGTTCCAGAGGGTGGCAGCCAATTCTGTTTGATTAACAATTAATGAGAGAATGAATATTACAATGAGAAGTAGGCTCACTCCAGTGAGGGACTGAGAGAGTGACATCATGTCACTCTAGGTCAAAGACAGATCTCTACCCCCCAGAACACCCCCAGCTTTGGGAAACCTAATCAAAGAATTTATCCCCACCCAAACCGGAGCAGAACACAATTGGGCTTCCCCTACGTAGATTAAATTCTTTGTAAGGTTGGGCCAAGTCCGACCAAGGTTAAGGAGAGTTGGGGGCAGCTAGGTGGCTCAGTGGATAGAGCTCTGGCCTTGGAGTCAGGAGGATCTGAGTTCAAATCTGGTCTCAGACACTTGGACACTTGACACTTACTAGTTGTGTGACTATGGGCAAGTCACTTAACCCCAATCGCTTCTCCAAAAAACAACAACAAGATTGAGGAGAGTTCATTCAATCTCATTATCAGTAATGTCCTTCAAAAACTAAACTTTGAGAAAGGCTTGTATGGACTGATGCTGAGTGAAGTGAGCAGAACCAGGAGAATGTTGTACACAGTAACGATGGGGCGCTTGGGTGCTTGTGCTTGTGCCCTAATTTCTCCCTAGCCTCAGAAACCCTGTCTCTGACAACCACTCCCCAGCCCAACGACACTGTGCCTAGCAGTTATTCATGCATGACCCTTATCTCTCTCCCTGGTACAGCTACACAGAGCTGGGCTGCTCAGGCCCCAGCCCTCAGATCATGTCTCTGGAAGCCTCCCAATTCCTCAGTAAGTTCCTGTGTTGTGAGAAAGCTTTCCCTTGCTGCAGAGCATTCTCTCATCAAGACAGAGGGAGAGGGGTGTCCTTGGCCAGCCCAAGGAGTTTTGTCCTTGGCCAGCCAAGGACTCTTCCTCCTGCCAGACTCCGAAGATCCATACCTCTGTCATCTCCCTCCCTGTCTGGTATACTCCCTGTACTTTCCCATCCATATCCCCCAAAGACACCTGCACCTTTGGATTACCTCATCAGTGTCCCTGGCATTTCTTTCCCATGCTCTTTTCCATATAAACCCTAGCTGCATTCTCAGTCTCTCGCAGGATCCTTTAAGAACCCTTGCCCGCTGAAAAGCGTAACAATGAACTTTGCCACCTTGGCTTAAAGAATGCTTGAGTCTGTGAATTCATTCCAGACGACCCTTCCTGTACTCCGGTCTTTGAGGGGTCACAACCTCTCAGCCTCTCACACCACAACAGTAACAGTCTCATTGATGTTTGATGACTAACGTTGATAGACTTAGTTCTTCTCAGCAATGCAAAGATCTAAGATCCTCCAAAAGCCTCATGATGGAAAATGCTATCCACATTCAGAGAAAGAACTCCACAGAATTAGAAGTCAGATAAGAACATACTATTTTCTCTTTTTTTTCCCCTTTCTCTTCTGTTTTGTTTTGTTTCTTCTTTCTTGTGGTTCCTCCTGTTGGTTCTCATTCTTCTTTACAACATGATACTGTTTAATACGTATTAATTTACAACATAATACATTTAATAGGAATGTATATGGTAAAGCCTATATCAGATTGAGCGCTGTCTTGGGGAGGGAGATGGAGAGGGAGGGGAGAAAATTTAAAACTCGAAAGTTTATGGAAGTGAATGTTGAAGACTAAAAATTAATTAATAAAAAAAGAAACTGAACTCTGAAATCAGGACTATAGAAAAAAGGGGAACTCTGGACCTCTCCAAATCATTAGTTATTAATAATTATTTTTCTCAGTACTGAAGCCCCTCAACCATTGTGAAAACTCATCTCCCTTTTTTTTGGAGGACATCAAGATACCCATCTGGTCCCTTTGATTTTCCCTACGGACCTAAAGGTACTCAGAGCAGTAACTATGCCTTGGGCAAATTCAGGAGAAAGGTGGTGAGACGTGCCACCCTAGTGCACCCACTGCGTCTCCAGTTATCTCTAGAGACTCCAAGCAGGTTAGAGGAGAAGGTGGGCACTTGGGTATGATGGGACCCTGAAAGTGGCAGCTGGCAGTGGCTTGGATGCAAACCTGGAGAGGACTGGCAAAAGGAAGCTCATCCTCCTGATAGGGTGATAGGACCCAGACCCTGAATTTTCCCATACATTTCAGCAGCCCAAATCATTGGTGCCTCTGCCCAAGGCAACTGGCCCATCCCAGCCCACTTTAGATCACCTAATTAGCTCACTTGACATCCTTTGACTGTGCTCTTGACCCATCCCAGACTACTTAATACTTCTTTGACTGCTGTACCTGGACCATCCTGCACTACTTCTCTCTTTCTTTTCACTGTCCCTTTTTTGTATATAAGTATCAGCCTCACTCCCATTAAGTTGCAGATTTACTAGCAATCTTGCCCACTTCTATCGGCATTAAGATAAACCTCACTACTTTGACTGAAAGAAGGCTTGAATGATCAAATTCTTTCCAGGCAGATCTCCCCAGTACCCTTACATTTTGGGTTTCCCAGCACCTCAAACTGCAACACTCCCAGGAAAGAGGCCTGACTCTGTCCAGGTGTCAGCACTCTGGGGCAAAGGTCTAGTCACCCTATGGGAGTTACACTTCCATGCCCACAGGATTCATGCAGCCAGTGTAGAGTTGCTCCTTCATGTATGGGGTTCCCTTCTCCCTCAATCCTTTCTCTCCTTGATGGCTAAATAGACACTGTGGCCTCTGGGTCTCTCTTGGGGGAGGTAGCAGTAAGGCTCAGAGGTAGAGGATAATTCAGAAAAGCTAAGAGGCTTGGCCTGGGCATAGGTTATACAGACAAATACACAGAGAGGTACAGATACAGAGATACAGGGTGGCATTCAGCCAGGGAGAGGTGCACATAACCATGTCACCTCTCCAAGAAACCAGTGGGGGCTCAGAATGGCATCCTAAGTAGATGTGGAAGGAAACACAGAACCTTGACCAGAGAGAAACGGTGGGAGAGAAGATGGAGTTGCCCCGCCTTACTGCTACCTCCCCCAAGAGAGACCCAGAGGCCACAGTGTCTGTTTAGCCATCAAGGAGAGGAAGGATTGAGGGAGAAGGGAACCCCATACATGAAGGAGCAACCCTTCACTGGCTGCATGAATCCTGTGGGCATGGAAGTGTAACTCCCATAGGATGACTAGACCTTTGCCCCAGAGTGCTGACACCTGGACAGAGTCAGGCCTCTTTCCTGGGAGTGTTGCAGTTTGAGGTGCTGGGAACCCCAAAATGTAAGTGGCAAAGAGAGGACAGCTTGCAAGGGAGAGGTCCTGAGATGGAGGGAGACTACAGCCCGGAGGGCAAGGTTGGCAGGTGCGCATCTGGGACCTGGGAGCCCAGCTGAGAAGAGTAGAGGGGGAGGTCCTGGACAGGTGGGCAGCGGAGGGAGGGGAGACAGTAGGGATCTTGGGGGTGGAGCAGGGAGGCAAAGGACTGGGCCTGAAGGGAGAGCCAGGTTTCCCAGGGGTGGGTCTAAAGGCGGTGCCGGCTCTGCAGGCTGAGTAGGGAGAGACTAAGGAGAAGGATCCCGAATGGGAGCGTGGGGGCTGGCCACGGGAGCCCATTGGCCGAGAGCGGGTCCTTCCCTCCCTGGGTCGCGTTGAGCCAGGGCCGGGGCTCCTGGCCAGTGACTGGAAGGAGCCATGGCTTCCTACACGCTTTTGCACAGCTCTCTGGCTGTGATCCGCCTCCGGAACCCGCCCCTCAACACCCTTAGGTAGGTGAGACGGTGGGCAAGACACTGCAGCCGCCGCTGCGGCTGTCGGCCCGCTGAGCCCTGAGCCCCCCAGGCACGAACCGCCAGAGCTGCGAGGAAGCTCAGGGCTCAGCCCCTTCCATCCCTGCTGGGACTTCGGCCGCGCTCTGGATTCCCGCGAGCCCTAGCAGGGCTGTCCTTCGAGACCACTTCTCCTTCCCCCTTAGAGCTGGAAGGGATTTGGACAGCCTAACCAAGGACCCTCCTGGGCGATCCTGCGGGATCCTGCCGGCTTCGATTTCGTGGTCTGTGATCTGTGTTTAGAAATCAGCTGGACGTTAGGCAAACGAGCAACACGCATTTATCAAGTGCCTGCTATGTGTCGGGCTCTGGGCGTACTGAGACGAAAACCTACTTGTCCCCTGACGGAGGAGCTTCTAGGGTCATTGATTTAGAGCTCAGACAGACCTTAGAAGATAGGAGTTCAACTTCTTCATTTCTCAGGAGGGGAAACTGAGGCTCCTAATGGTTAGGTATTAAGAGGGGAGGAAGGATTTGAACCCAAGTCCTGCTAACTCCAAGGCCAGTACTGTACTCATTATTCCAGTTTGTTTGATATGAACTGGAGGGGCCTTGGAGAACCTCCCCTGAGTTGGAGTCTGTGAACTTAAAAATGTACCTATTTTGATACCTGTATTTAATAGAATTGATTCCATTTGTAACTGTGTATATTTTATTTTATGCATTAAAAAACCTTATTCTGGGGCAGCTAGGTGGTGTAGTGGATAGAGCTTTGGTGTAGGAGTCAAGAGGACCTGAGTTCAAATCCAGCCTCAGACACTTGACACTTACTAGCTGCGTGACCCTGGGCAAGTTAACCCCGATTGCCTCACTAAAAACACACCAAACAAACCAACCAACCTTATTCTGGGAAGTGATCCCTAGGCTTTGCTAGGCTCCCGAAGGGGACTATGGCATAAAAAATTTAAAATAAAAAAAAAGGATAAGATCCCTTGCTCCAGTGACTGCTATTTTTATCAGTGACCTTCCGCTTCTGCCACTCCCGGCACCACAGACCTTGGTCAAATCAAGCCTGGGAGGGGCTCAGCCCACCTCGAGCTACAGAGCGTTATGAGATGTTGCCCAGTCCAGTGGGGCCTCCAGTTGTATTTCCACAATGTGATTTCAGATGTTATGTCCAAAGCCATTTGCAATTTTACATATACATACATACATATATATATATATATATATATATATATATATATATATATATGTTTAGGAATTATGTGTTTTCAGGGGGAAGGAACAGGGATTCTTGAGACCACATTGAAGGGGAAGGGATTTAGATGTCATCAACCTTGAATATTTATCCAGCCAATAAGCACTGATTAAGTACTTTTGAGGTGCCAGGCTTGTGCTAAGCTCTAGGGTTGGAAAGAAAGGCAAAAATAGTCCCTGCTCTCAGGGAGCTCTCAGTCTAATGGGGGGAGACAACATACAAAAAAACTAGGAATATTACAAGGAAGGTATGTATAGAGTTGTCATTACTGTTCATTAGTTTCAGTTGTGTCTGACCCTTCGCAACCCCGTTTTTTCTTGGCAAAGATGCTGGAGTGTTTTGCCATTTCCTTCTCCTGCTCATTTTATAGATGAGGAAACCGAGGCAAACAGGGTCAAGTGACTTGCTTAGGGTCACACAGCTAGCAAGTGTCTGAGACCAGATTTGAACTCAGGAAGATGAGTCTTCCTGATAAAGCCCAGCACTCTATCCACTGCATTACCCAGCTGCCCCTTTATAGAGCAGATGGAAAGTAATCCAAGAGGGAAGGCACTGGGCACTGGGGGTGCCAGGAAAAGCCTCCTGCAGAAGGTGCAACTTGAGCTGAGCCTTGAAGGAAGCTAAGAGGCAGAGAGGAGGAGGGAGGGCATGCTTAGCATGGGGCATAGCCAGTGCAAAGGCCTGAGGCAGGAGTCCAGCTCCAGTGGGAAGGGCCTGAGAGATCCTTTTCCCAGCCAGAGCTATAGCTTAGAGGTCATCCTGCCTCTCAACACCCACTGCCTGAGTGACCTGCACCAAAGCATTTCCCTCTGCTAGGAGCCTCATCTGATCGCCGCCCCTCTGGGGGTTCCAAGGGATCTCCAGGGCCTCCCCTTCCTGCTCTAGCATCACTATCCCAAGATCTTTCTTCTACAATTCCCTCAATTTTATAGGCAAGGAAACCCAGTTCTCCAACTGCAAACCTGTGTTCTTCCCACTACATCCAATTTCCTTTTCCAGTCGTCATTTGACATAGATTTAGAGCTAGGACGTATCTTAGAGACAATCTAATCTAATGCCCTCATTTTGCAGATGAGGAAACTGAGGCCCAAAGAGGTAGAGTGACTTTGAAACACTATCTTTGGAGTCTTTTTCCAAGGGAAGGTCAAACCTGGGGCCAGCCTTATCTTATTTTGTGTGTGAAAGCAAGCTCCTGTTTTGTCTTTAGGGAAAATACCAAAGGAACGAGCCCCTTCAAGCCTTCTTTACCACTGAAGCTGAAATGGACACTGGTCTGGGAAATGAGAATTATTCTTTCCTAAAGCAGCTTAACCCAAGGACTTTGGGGCTTTACTGAACTTGAATTCTAATCCCTGGAACCAAATAAAAGCTGATTAGACGTGGCCTTCTCTGAAGAGCTAGCTTACTGTGCAGTTTTGTCTACTTTTATTTAATAAGCGGGGAATGTCTTTGTGAAAGCCGTTTGGCCCTGGCTTTTCAAGACCTTGGAAGGAAAAGTGCTTTGAGCTGAGCAGAAAGGGAGACTGCCTACTTAGGCTCTATTTCTTGGAGGTGTTTGAAAGACTAATAAAGTAATGTAGGTACAGTCCTTTGATCTGGCTGAAAAAAAGAAGGGAAGGGGAAGGTTGGGGCTTTGGAGAAGAAGCTGGGTCATAATTACCATTGTTCCCATATGCAAGGCCTATGAGAATCATCACATCTCTATTGTACTTCCTTACTTTGTCTTATTTGAGCCTCTGGATTATATATTGTATATAACATGGATTATATAGATTGGGAGCTGGGAGGGACTTTAAACATCATCCCCCTTATTTTGCATATGAGGAAACTGAGGCAGAGAGAGTTTAAGTGATTTGCCTTAGTTAGTAGGTGTCTAAGGTAGGATTTTAACCCTGTTCACTTCCCAACCCTCTAGAATGCTACCCCTCCTAGTAACCTCAGTTAATGATGATTTGCAAAATTAATAACAAGCAATATGGCAAGAGGCATTGGTTTTAATTTAATTAAATTAAAAATAAATGCTATCCTTTGTTAATTTTGTAGTTAATCATAGATCTAGAAAAAAACATGACTTTTGGACCCTGTAACATTATGCAATGGCGCTATCTTTTGATGCACCATGTTTGGTGCTTAAGTAAGTGGTCAAAGGTGAGTGTTCACTCTAGGTTTAATGGTGAAAGAGAAATAGGGGAAAGGTAATTACTATATTTACTATCATCCTTCTCTCTCTTATTTCTAGATGTATTTCCTCCAAAATGGTGGGAGTAGGGTAAAGGGGAAAAAAAGGAGAAGTGGTTCTTACAATTTTTATTACTTGTTTCTTTTTAACATTCTTTAAAATTTTTTTTTTAAAGTTCCAAATTCTCTCCCTCTCCCATCCCTCCCCCACCCATTGAGAAGGCAAGAAATATGATATCAATTATGCCTGTGAAATCATGCAAACCATATTTCCATATTAGCCATGTTGCAAAAAAAAATAAAGTGAAAAAATGATGTTTTCATCTGCATTGTGACTCCATCCATTCTTTCTCTAGAGGTGGATAGCATTTTTCCCTGTAAATCTTTCAAAATTGTCTTGTTATCACTGCTGAAAATAGCTAAGTCATTCACAGTTTATTGTCATATGATATTGCTGTTACTGTGTACAATGTTCTTGTGGTTCTGCTCACTTCACTTTACATCAGTTCATGTAAGTCTTGCCAGGTTTTTCTGACAGCATTCTGCTCATCATTTCTTATAACATAATAGTATTCCATCACAATCATAACTTGTTCAGCCATTCCCCAAATAATAGGCATCCCCACAATTTCCAGTTCTTTGCCACCACAAAAAGAGCTGCTATAAATATTTTTGTATAAATAGGTCCTTCTCCCCGCCCCCCCCTTTTTTTTAATCTTTGGGATGCAGACCTAGTAGTGGCATTACTGGATCAAAGAGTACGCACAGTTTTATAGCCCTTTGAGCATACTTTCAAACTGCTCTCCAGAATGGTTGCATTAGTTCACAGTTCCACCATCAGTGCATTAGTGTTCCAGTTTTCCCCCATCCTCTCCATCATTCACCATTTTCCTTTTCTGTCATATTAGCCACTCTGATAGGTGTGAGGTGGTACCTTAGAGTTGTTTTAATGTGCATTTCTCTAATCAATAGGGATTTAGAGCATTTTCATATTTTTTTATTAGTTCAATGAGTTTTTTTTTTACTTCCAATTTTATTAATCTCTCCTTTGATTTTCACCATTTCCAATTGGGTGAGGAATTATTGTCTTAGCAGCATGGTTTGGAAATGTTGTTTGCCAGTCTCCTACTCATTCTTCCTCCTTTTTTTTTAAATGGAGAAGTTGGAACAGAATATTTCATAGAATATGTTGTAGTGGGGATTCCTATCAGGTATGAGTGGACCAGATAAGAATAATAATGTAACATTTACGTAGCATTTACTATGTGCCAGAAATGGTGCTAAACTCTTTACAGTTATCATATTTGATCCTTGCAAGAACCCCAAGAGGTAGGTATTGTTGTCATCCCTATTTTACAGAGGAGGAAACTGAGGTGAACAGAAGTTAGGTGGCTTGCCCAGGGTCCCACAGCTAGTAAGTGTCTGAGGCTAGATTTGAACTTGTCTTCCTGACTCTAGGCCCAGCTCTCAATCCTCTTTGTCCCAAGGACCTCAGAGGTCCCTTCTAGCTCACAGTTCTGTGCCTCTGAGTTCACCTATGTTAGATTGGCAAAGATGACAAGAAGGGAAAATGACAAATGGCCACAACCAGAATCTAGACAAGGTGAAATGGTCTGAGATTGTTAGCACAACAGGGATGGTAGTGTCTCCAAAGAGGGGCCCCGGAGAAAGGAGGTCCCACCCTTACTGTGTCTTGCTGCTTTTGTTTGGGTCATCCAGTATTCCCAAGGAGTGGGAAGCAGTGGGTGTGGCAGGTACTGATCCTTAAATTAACCCCTTATTTCCCCCACCCTAATTCTGTTATCAGAGGCTGATAGAATCCAAAAGAGGAGAGAAGGAAGGAAGGGAGGGAGGGTGGGCAATGCAGTGGGACGGTGTGGGGTGTGGGGTCTGGGTCTGAGGGGTCCCTCCCCCCTTCCCTACACATTCCCTGTGTCTCTGCTCTGCTACTGTCCTACACACAGAGCAAATTGTATTCATCATTGGCAAGGCCCTCCTGCGGGCAGAACATTAACAGGCTGTACCTGAGGCTCACTGCATGAGTGCCCCCAGGCTCAGCTTAACTGCCTGCCTGAGCCAGCTGTTCTGAGGTCAAGCCCTCTTCTTCAGGCCTTACTTATGGCAGAAATCAGGACTCTTCCTGGAGGCTGGGGCAATAGACAGACGCAAGACCTGCTGCCTCCATCTTTGGGGGCTTTACAGTTCCTCTCAAATGCCACTGCCTCCAGGAAGCCTTCCTTAATTCAGTGCTTCCCCCGGAGCTGATGAGGTGCTTATGATTCGAGCTTATTTATTGCAGTTAACTTTATCCCCACATCAAGGGGCCGGTACCATCCACGTGGTTATTGATTATATTTTTGTTGGTGTTCAGTCATTTCAGTCATGTCTGACTTTTTGTGACCCCATTTCAGGTTTTCTTGGCAAAGGGTGGCTTGCCATTTCCTTCTCTAGCTCATTTTATAGATGAGGAAACTGAGTCAAATAAGGCTGAATGACTTGCCCAGGGTTACACAGCTAGTAAGTTTCTGAGACCAGATTTGAACTCAGCTCTTCTTGACTCCAGGCCCATTGATTACATACCTAAGATAATAATAATAGACAGCATTTATGCAGAGCTTTAAGATTTACAAAGCACTTTATAGATATTATCTCATTTCCTCCTCACAAAAATTTGAGAGGCAGGTGCTATCATTTTCTATTCTTTTTTTTTTTTTAGGCAATTGGGGTTAAGTGACTTGCCCAGGGTCACACAGCTAGTAAGTGTCAAGTGTTTGGTCTGAGGTCAGATTTGAACTCAGGTCCTCCTGACTTCTGGGCGGGTGTTCTTTCCACTGTGCCACCTAGCTGCCCTGCAGGTGCTATCATTAACCCTATTTTACGGATGACAGTAGAGTCTGAGATATCAATAGGACCTCCCAGGTTTAATGTCCAATAGGTGGTTGGTCAGTATCTTGAATGTACCCACTTTCATATACTTTGTCTCCCCATTAGAATGTGAACTCCTTGCAAGCAGCTTGCATTTGTTGCACAGTGCCTGGTATATGTTAAGCACTTAATAAATACTGGCTGATCAATTGATTGATTGATTTGAACTCAGGAGAGAGACTGGGGCAAGATAAACAGCTAAAGAGTCATTTGTGGGGCAGCTAGGTAGTACAGTGGATAAAGCACTGGCCCTAGAATCAGGAGGACCTGAGTTCAAATTCAGCCTCAGATGCTTACTAGCTGTGGAATCCTGGACAAGTCACTTAACTCGGATTGTCTCAAAAAATAAAAGAATAAAATGAAGAGTCATTAGAGCTTATGGAACAGAGAAATGATGTGGCCAGACTGGGGCTTTAGAAAAGTCACTTTCACAGTTGTGCAGTTTGATTGGAGTAGTGAAGCAGAAGAGACTGATCATTCAGGCAAGAGGTGATGAAGGTCTGTTCTAAGGTGGTGCTTTGGGAGCAGAGATGAAGGGACAGGTTCCAGAGCCATTGTGGATGAAGAAAGGACTAGACTGGTGATTCGATGTGAGGGTGAAGGGAGAGCAGGCCTCAGGCAGGTGTAATGCCCACCTCAACATGTCACCACCAGACAGGGTAAGGCAGGGTTGGAGAAGAGGTGAAAACTATGGGAAACAAGGCAACGAGAGCAAGTTGGAGTGGGGAGCTCATCATGGCAGGGCCATGGGTCCTGAACCTTGTTCCTCTGTTTCTCCCAGTAAGTCTGTGACCGAAGGCCTGGTTGAAAGCCTGAGGAAAGCTGAGACTGACCCAGCTGTGAAAGCCATCATCATCTGTGGAGCAGATGGAAAGTTCTCTGCAGGTAAATGTGGCTTTCTGGACCCCTCCGCCCTCATTCTTCCAGGTGCTCTGTTGTCCTCTACTGCACTGTGGGCCTCAGCGGCGGATGCCTTTGGGCAATGGGCATAATAATACCCATTTCCATCTTGCTTTAGAGTCATCATGGTGTTATGCATAGAAAACAGGCCTCAGAGCCAGGAAAACCTGGGTTCAAATCGTGCTTCTGACAATTATATTCATAATATCATTGATCTTGTGCTCTTAGAAGTCATGTAACCCAACCCCCTTATTTTACGGATGAGGAAACTGAGTCTGAGGAGCTACATTCAAATAGGGAGGGAGGATGGAAAGAAGGAAAAAAAGAGGGGAGGAAGGAAGGAAGAGGGAGAAAAAAGAAAAAAGAAACAAAGGAAAGAAGAAAGGAAGGGAGGAGGGAGAGAAAGAAAAAGAAAGGAAAGAAGGAAGCTAGCTGAAACTCACAGAAGCAGAGTGAAAGAAAGTGAGAAAGTGACGAGAGAGAGAGAGAGAGAGAGAGAGAGAAAGAAAGAAAGAAAGAAAGAAAGAAAAAGGAAGAAAGAAAGAAAGAAAGAAAGAAAGAAAGAAAGAAAGAAAGAAAGAAAAGAAAGAAAGAAAGAAAGAAGCTCTAACAGTCTATTTGATGGAATCCTAATAAAGCTGCCCCCAGCCCCAATATTCTAACTTCCTTATGGGCCCCACTGAACAGCAGGCATGTCTTGATTTAACCAAACAATCTGGCTTTAACCACACCACAGCCCCCCAGACTCAGTCATAGGCCCTGCTGAACAACAGGCCCACTGCTCCTACCCAGCCACTGCCCCTTCCCTCTCTACTCAATAGTCCACCTTTGTCACATAAGCCTCACTGCTCACTAGAACAACAGGTGTGTCCATGAATTCATGTTTCTCACAGAAACAGCAGGCGTGTCCATGTGATGGGATCCCAGACACTGCCTCTACTAGCAACTGCGCCCAGACCCATTCCTCATATTCCTGATAAAGACAGCAGGTTGTCCGTGCACTTCCCTTCAGCCACATGCATCTAATCTCACAGGACCACAATACTCAACCAATCAGAAAGCAGCACCGCCAAGATGCTCGGGCAGGATGTGGACCCCAAAACAACAGAGGGGACTTTCCCTAACTAGGCGTCTGCACAGTAATAACAAAAGCTGTCCTTTAGGCGAACTCATGACACGGGCTTATTATAATATCATTATCATACATAGATACCCCCCCCCAATGGATTTTTCTGTGTGCATTGTGGGGAATTGCACACACAGTTCCACTGAGGCTGGGACCCCTCCCCGATTACCTAATCCCTTAACCAACCCCTCTTGCCATTTTAATATTCATAATTTCTGCTGTGTAATTGCGTCTTTACCCTATAAAAATCCATCTTGCTTTCACTAAAGTTACTGATTCCTCTTGGAACCTAGCCCGCTTCTGAGGAGCGTCAATCCTCAAATGCCTTTACTTGGGCTAGAGGTGGGTCTGACTCTGAATTTTTTGAGACTACCACCACGACACACCAGGAACCACAACATATCCACTACACTATGTTACTTGTCCTCTAGAGCAGCTGAGGATATTTTTTTTCCAAGCAGGAAAGATTTTTTTTTTTCCAGCAGGAGAAGGGCTAAGGAAACCTCCCCTTCTCCAGAAAAAAAGGCTTTAGTCGGTCCCTTTTAGGGCCAGGCTCCACTGAGGCCCCTAGCTGGCCACTCTAGAGCTCTGCTCCAAAGGGTGTCATGCCCACCACAGGGCACACTATTCTGCCCCTTAAATACCGGAGCCTGGGAGCAGGGGCCTCAGTGGTGCCCCCTGGTGTCTGAGGAGCACGGCGCACTCCCTCCAACATGAGACCTCCAAGGTGGTCTGTAGGAAGGAGAGGACCAGGCCTGTGCCATCCCTCACCCAAGAAAGTATGGGGGAGGGGATTTCCCTGAAAAGGTGACAGGAAGAGATCTTCGTTAAAGATATTTAGACAATTATTGAAAGTCAGAGTCGAAAGGGATGTCAGATGTCGTCTAGCCAAACCATCTTGTCAATGAGTCCAAGAGAAGTTACCCCCCAGCCCCTGACTGAAGGCCATCCTGGCGCTCTGGAGGCTCCGTTGTGACAGGGCAGACGACACACAGGAAGTGGAATGGTCCTTAGGGCTTAGCGGCGAGGCCGAGGGCGCCGCATCGTCCCCGGTGTTGTCGCCATTGATAACTTCTCATCAGTTCCTAATTTTGAGCCCTTTGGCAATGCCAGGGATTTTGGTAGCAAGAACCTTCTATGGCTTTAGCACTGCAGAAGCAGCTTCCAGATCCCAGCTTGGGAGGGATGAGGCAGGGCAAATGGCTGCTTGGGAGGGGGCTGGACTAGGGGTCTGGGACCACCCCTGCCGCCTATGGGTGGAGGGTGGTGAGGAAAGTGGGCCCCTTCTCCACAGTGACTGCAGCACGTGGGCTGGAAGCAGTGGAGCTCACTGCTATTCCCAAGGCGCTCCCTGGCCGCGTGACTGTGAGTGCAAGTGCAGGTGAGTGCAAGACGGACTGCCAGTCACTGTACTCTAGTCCTCAGTCTTCTCATCTGTAAAATGAGACGGTTGGATTCAGTCCCTTCCAGCTCCAAATCTGTGGTCCCATGCACCTCTTTGTTTTGCAGACAGGGAAACTGAGGCTGAAGAAAGAGAAGTAAAGATCGTGGTTACCTTTTCTCCAGCTTTTTATGCCAAGCTGGCAAACCTTAGTAAGAATAACATCCCATTTGCATGGCATGTTCCACTTGGTAAACTCTGGGTACCATTTCTTCCGACATATACTCTAACCAGTCACACACTCACTTTCCATTTAGGGAAGAAAAACACTTTCCCGACTCTTACTCCAGAACCTTCAATGGCTCCCCATTGCCTGTAAGACGAATTTTAGACATCTTAGTTTGGATTTCAGATTCCTCCATGATCCAGTTTTCTGATTGGATTTCAAATGTCTAATTTCTAATGATCTAATTTTCTAGTTAAGAGCAAGTGATGGGGCAAGACGACCCCCAGACCATGATCTGACCGTGGAGAGAGGGAACATCTGAAGTCGGTTGGCTCCCATGCCTGGAATGCACTCGCTCCTCATCTCTGTCTCTTACTTGATTGATTCTTATGTCTCCATTTTATAGATAAGGAAACTGAGGCTCAGAGAGATAAATTGGGAAAGCTCACAAGGGTCAGAGGTAGGACTTGAACCCACATCTTCCTGACTCTGTCTAGTGCTCTGTCCGCCACACCAGACTGCCTCCCAAAAGCTGTCTAGTGGGTTCATCCTGAACAAGGCTTTTTCCCATGGCACTCGTGTTCTCTTCATTTACTTAGGTGCTGATATTCGAGGCTTTAGCCAACCAGTTACGCGAACCAATGCATTACCCTCAGTCATTGATAATTTGATGGAGATGGAGAAGCCTTTGGTGGCTGCCATTGAGGACCTGGCTCTGGGAGGAGGCCTGGAATTGGCTCTGGGCTGTCACTACAGGATTGCTGACGCCAAGGTAACAGCTCTGGCTGGACCCCGGGGGCTCTCTCTGACGCCAGCTTCAGACGATTGTTGAAAAGGATAAGAAGGCATGACCACCCTCGACTGGGAGGACAGAATGACGGGGGGCTGGGCTGAGTTGTTGTCCTGTTGAGTCACGTCCAGCTCTCCATGACCCTGTGGCCCAGACTGCCCGTGGGGTTTTCTTGGCAAAGAGAATTGGAGGGGTTTGCCCTTTCCTTGTCCAGAGGTTAAGTGACTTGCCCAGGGTCACACAGCTAGTAAATGTCTAGTGTCTGAGGCCGCAATTGAACTCAGGTCCTCCTGACTCCAAGGTCAGGGCTCTATCCACTGTGCCACCTAGCTGCCCCTTGTAATAGCATTTTCTAAACCAAGAAAAGTGCAGTTAGGTGGTGCCGTAGCACACAGAGCACTGCACCTAGAGTCGGGAAGCCCTGAGTTTAAATCTGGCCCACCCAGACAATACTAGCTGTGTGACCCTGGGCAAGTCAGTTCACCCTGTTTGCCTCAGTTTCCTCACCTGTAAATTGGAGACAATAACAGCATCTACCTGTCAGGGTTGTTGTGCGAATCAAAGGAGATGATAATTGTAAAGTACCTGGCACACAGCAGGCACTGTATCGGTGTTAGCTATTATGATGATTATGTCACACATGGACCATCATTCCTAGGATCAGTGCTAGAAGATGCCTTTGATGTGTTAGTCCAGTTTTCTCATTTTGTAGAAGCAGGAACAGGGTACCCTGTAAGTGGCAGACTCCCAGTTCCACTCCGCAGTTCTCAGCACCATGGTTTGAAAAGGGCTTTGAAAAGCTAGAGCATGTCCAGAGAAGAGTGCCCGGGCTGCACCCCAGGATGGCCCATTAGAGGAGCAGAGCCTGTTTAGCCTGCATGAGAGATGACCCAGGGGAGGCTAGCTGGCGTGGTGGGTAGAGCATCGGCCCTGGACTCAGGAGGACCCGAGTTCAAATCCGGACTCAGACACTTGACACTTACTAGCTGTGTGACTCTGGGCAAGTCACTTAACCCTGATTGCCTAGCCCCTCCAAAAAAGGGGGTGGGCAGCTAGGTGTTGCAGTGGTAGAGCTCTGGCCTTGAAGTTAGGATGACCTGAGTTCAGATCTGGCCTCAGACACTTGACACTAGCTGTGTGACTCTGGGCAAGTCACTTAACCCCGATTGCCTCACCAAAAAAAAAAAAAAAAAGAGAGACAACCCAAAGGGCTGTGATGGCTGTTTGCAGTTACAAAAGGCTGTCAGTGGTGTGGCAGAGGGGTCAGACTCATTCAGCTTGGCCCCAGATGATAGAACTGGGAATTACGGAAGGGAATTTGTACAGTGACCAATTGGGTTAGACGTCAGGAAAGGGAGCTGTCCTTGCATGGAGTCTGAGCAGAGGCTGAGGCACCCGCGCTGTTGGGGATGTGATGGTGGGGATCCCTTTTCATCTCTAGGTGGCTCAGGATGGCTTCCAGGCTCCCTCCTGAGTGGGATTCTGTGTGAATGCATGCTTCTGCTGACTCTATCAGAACAGCTTACCAATCTGGGTGTACTTCCATATTCGATAGGCTCGAGTTGGTTTTCCAGAGGTCAACCTCGGACTTCTCCCAGGTGCAAGAGGGACCCAGCTTCTTCCCAGGCTCATCGGGATACCTGCTGCCCTTGACCTGATCACCTCAGGTAAATCCAATTGTCTATCATAATATATACACGAGTGAGGCTGAGGAGGGTGGGCAGTCCATCGTTCAGAGAGGCTGAAGACAAGCGTTCCAGTCCTGCTCATGTCCCTCCCTCACCAAACGACCTTGGGCTCGTCCCTGTGGCCCTCCGTTTCTTGGTTCTTGGGTAATGGCGTCTGTCCAGCCTACCTCTTGGGAGTGCTACGACCAAATAAAGTCTCAACTTTATTTGTCTTCAAGGGGAAGGTTGCCTGGAGGGGGTGGTATCTGGGTTGGTCCTTAAAGGATGAGAAAAGAGATGTGGATGAGAGGGAAAGATTTCTTGCATGAGGAAAGACTGTTGTGTGGGAAGACCCACTTGGCCCCACAAGGCATGCTGACTTGGAGCAGTGGATGGAAGTCTCAGAGTGACAGTTTTGGGTTGGATGGCAAGAAAAATCATAATAATTAAAGCTGTCCCAAAGTTAGAAGCAGGGGTTTCCCCATCACTTGGAAATCTTTAAGCAAAGGCTGGATGGCCACTTGTCAGCCACGTCATGGTGGGGGCTGTCTGGTTGATCTAGAGCTAGAAGAGATCTCAGAGACGATGTAGTCCAATCCCCTCATTTTACAGGTGTGGAAACTGAGGCATGGAGTAGCAAAATGATTTGCCCAAAGTCACACAGTTAATAACTATCTGAGATTTGGATTTGGTATAATTTGGAGTCAGAGGACCTGGGTTCAAATCCTAGCTCTCCCACCATCACGCTACTGGGATGACCCCATTTGTCACTTCCTCTCTCTCAACCTTAGTTTCCTCATCTGTAAAATGAATGGGCTCGACCAGGTGACCTCTAAGGTCCTTTCCAGGTTTAAAACTGTCATGATGACCCAGGCTTTATGGCTCCAATGCCAGATGTCTAATCCAGTCTACCATATTGCCGACCAAGTTGGCTTCCAGCTCAGAAATTCTGGGGTTCTGGGATTATCACCCTTTTGTCCAAACACTTCTTTGTGGCAGGGAGACATATTTCAGCTCCTGAAGCACTCAAACTGGGAATACTGGACAAAATCGTGAGCTCAGATCCAGTTGAGGAAGCCATCAAGTTGGCCAGAGAAGTTTCAGGTAAGCAACGAGCTTCTAAGCATTATTGACACTATTTTGAAAACATTTCAGCAGCTACTCAGCCCAGTTCTTGGGCTGGCTGGTTAGGTTGAATAAATCAAATCACTCCACACCTTTTAAAGTGTTAAGATGCTAAGCCTTGATAACATAACTTAATGAGAACACTTTTCTATTGAATAAATCCATGATAAGCTTTGAAATAAAGGGAGGGGAGGTCCTCACTCCACAGGAGTGATATTGGATAGAAACTGATTGGCTGAAAGTCAACTACATAAGAATCCAAGAGATTTTGAGATTTGGGCTAGTGGAGAAGAGAGCTTGTTCCAGCTAACACCTTGAGAAGGAATTGGTTGAGGAAAGAGAAGCAGAGTTAATTAGGGTTAGAGCTAGTGAAATGTCTGTGGCAGGATTTGAACTCAGGTCTTCCTGATTCCAAGTCCAAACCTGTGCACCTTAGCTGACTAATTGGTAGTCTACTCATAACCATAGTAAGAAGCACACCAGTGGGGGCTCATGAGTAATAGCTTTAGAAAGACACCTTTTGATCTTTCAGGGCTACCCTAAGAGCCCCAAAGGGACAAAGTAGTCATGCACCCAGCTCTTCAGTGGGAGTGTGGCTTCAAAGCATGAACTGCAGGCGAAAAATGTCACGTCCACCCCTCAGTTAACGTTGTTCTGATAACACAGACGTGACGAGCTCTCCACTAGGGATTCTAACATGGTTTGGCTCATAGGTCTCTTTGGTAAAGCCTAAGATTCTCCAGGTTCCATCTTCTAGAGATGTCAGAAAGCAATCAACCCACAAACATTCAAGGTTCATTCTCTGTGCTTGGTACTAGTGGCACAAAGACAAAAGTGAAACAACCCTTGCCCTCAGGGAGCCTACATTCTAATGTATCTACACAAATGAGCTCCTTCAGAGTAGGGACTACATTATTTTCTGAATTTGTATCCCCACTACCTAGCACTGTACCTAGAACATAGTAGGCACGTAGTAAACGCTTTTACTGTCTGATTAATTTCTCAGTAAAGGCAAATTTTTTTTTTCACAAAGGACTCCTTTTATTAAAATACCAAATAAGCAAGCAGTTTTCATTCTTATAGACCAGTTATATTATTCATAATGAAGCACAGTTTCATAATTCTTCATAATGAAACATAGCAATAAATTGTTCACAGCTTAACTTTATTTTTAATGCAAAATTGAAGTTTAGTGCCTCTGAAAAGTAGGAGCCCTGATGCAACTGCCTTGCTGCCCATTTGCCTTTGGCATTAGTCCAAAAGGCCCATTGCTCTATTATAGCTGAAAGCGATCTGTTCCTCACTGCTGTTCAGAAACTTCACCAATTTCCTTAAGAGTTCTTCCTTTTTTTTCCAGGCAGTTGCCTGACAAGTTGAGTTACCATCTGACAGCTGTTTAGGTACCCCAGGGCATATTGATACTTATTTCCTAGAAAAGGGTGTTGTCTAACTGCCTTAATTAATGTTTGCAAGGCACTTAGAGATCTCCAGATGAAAGCCATTCTGGAAGAGCAATGCATTATCACATGGGACAAGCAGCTTTTTTTGGGGGGGGTGTTGAATTTTTATTTTTATTTTTTTAATATAAATTTATTTATTTTTAGTTTTCAACATTCACTCCCACAAGTTTTTGAGCTCCAAATTTTCACCCCATCTCCTCCTTCCCCCCACCCCAAGATGGCATGCATTCTGAATATCCCTTCCCCTAGTCTGTCCTCTCTTCTATCTTTCTCCCCTTCTCTTATCCCCTTCCCCTTCTATTTTCCTGTAGGGCAGGATAGACTTCTGTACCCCATTTCCTGTATTTCTTATTTCCCAGTAGCATGTGAAAACATTTTTTTAAACATATGTTTTTAAAACTTTAGGCTTCAAATTTTCTGTCTTCCTCCCTCCCCACCCACCCTCATTGAAAAGGCAAGCAACTCAATATAGGTTATACATGTGCAGTTATGCAAAACACTTCCATAGTAGACATGTTGTGAAAAACTAACTCTATTTCCCTTAATCCTATCCTGCCCTCCCATTTATTCTATTCTTTCTTTTGACCCTGTCCCTCCTCAGAAGTATTTACTTCTGATACCCCCCCTTTCCCAATCTGCCCTCCTCTCTATCATCCCCTGCTCTCTTGTCCCCTTCGCCCCTATTTTCCTGTAGGGTAAGACAGATTTCCATACCCAAATGAATGTGTATGTTATTCCCTCCTTAAGCCAAATCCTATGAGAATAAGATTCACTCATTCCCTCTCACCTTCCGCTGTTTCCCCTCCACTGCAAGAGACTTTTCTTTTGTGTGTGTGTGTGTGAGATAATTTACCCCATTCTACCTCTCCCTTTCTTCTTCTCTGAGTATAATCCTCTCTCATCCCTTAATTTTATTCTCCAGATATGACCCCTTAATCTTCAACTCACCCTGTGCCCTCTATCTATCTATCTATATATACATACATATAATTTTTTTTCCTCAACTACCCTAATACTGACAAAGGTCTCATGAGTTATAAATATCATCTTTCCATGCAGGAATGTAAACAGTTCAATCTTAATAAGTCTCTTATGATTTCTCTTTCCCGTTTACCTCTTCATGTTCCACTTGAGTATGTATGAAAGTCAAATTTCTATTCAGCTCTGGTCTTTTCATCAAGAATGCTTGAAAGTCCTCTATTTCACTGAATGACCATCTTTGCCCCTGAAGGATTATACTCAGTTTTGCTGGGTAGGTGATTCTTGGTTGTAATCCTATCTCCTTTGCCCTCCGGAATATTATATTCCATGCCCTGCGGTCCTTTAATGTAGAAGCTGCTAAATCTTGTGTTATCCTGATTGTGTTTCCACAGTACTTGAATTGTTTCCTTCTGGCAGCTTGTAATATTTTCTCCTTGACCTGGGAACTCTGGAATTTGGCTATAATATTCCTAGGAGTTTTCCTTTGGGGATCTCTTTCAGGAGGAGATCTGTGGATTCTTTCAATTTCTATTTTGCCCTCTGGTTCTAATATATCAGGGCAGTTTTCCTTGATAATTTCTTGAAAGATGATGTCTAGGCTCTTTTTTTGATCATGGCTTTCAGATAGTCCAATAATTTTTAAATTCTCTCTCCTGGATCTATTTTCCAGGTCAGTTGTTTTTCCAATGAGATATTTCACATTGTTTTCTAATTTTTCATTCTTTTGGATTTGTTTACTGTGTCTGATTTCTCATAAAGTCACTATCTTCCAATTGCTCTATTCTAATTTTTAAGGAAGTATTTTCTTCAGTAAGCTTTTGGACTTCCTTTTCCATTTGGCCAATTTTTTTTTAGGGCATTTTTTCCTCATTGGCTTTTTGGACCTCTTTTGCCATTTGGGTTAGGCTATTTTTTAAGGTGTTATTTTCTTCAGTATTTTTTTGGGTCTCCTTTAGCAAGCTGTTGACTTGTTTTTATGATTTTCTTGCATCACTCTCAGTTTTTCCTCTACTTCCCTTCTTGCTTCTCAAAATCCCTTTTGAGCTCTTCCAAGGCCTGGGACTGATTCATATTTTTCTTGGAGGCTTTGGATGTAGGAGCTTTGACTTTGTTGTCTTCTTCTGGTTGTATATTTTGATCTTCTTTTCACCAAAGTAAGATTATATAGTCTGACTCTTTTTGCGCTGCTTGCTCATGATCCCAGCCAATTACTTGAGTTTTAAACTCTTTGTTAAGGTAAGAGTCTGCTTCCAATGTGGAGAATGTACTGTCCCAAGCTTCAGGGGTTTGTGTAGCTGTTTTCAGAGATACTTTTAGGGCCCTGTAAATTTTCATTTCTTCCAAGGTGGTATGATAAGGGGCGAGGTGTTTACTCCCTTCCTGGCCTGTGACCACAAGTACCTCCTTTCTGTCCTGTAACTGTGAGAAGGGGTTCCTCTCCACAGCCACTACAAGCTCCACCAAGCCAGTGCTCCTCCTCACCCCAGCACTGCTGCCTAGAACTGTGACCCAGATCCAAACACGGGCAAAGCAAGAGATTCCTGCCTCAGCACTGGCAAAGAGATCCCTGCAATCCCTCTCTGATCAGCCACTGGATTCCCCCTCAGTCTGTGGGCCAGAAGCTCGGGAAGCAGCTGCTGCCCCCCCTCCCCCATGCCACACTCTTGGGGAGTGGAGCTGAAACCCTACCTTCCTGTCTCAGCACTGACAGAAACAGACTTTTCCCACTGACCTTCTAAGTTGTCTTTGGCATTGGTGGATTGAGGAGTCTGGAAACCTCCACAGCTTCCCGTGATTCAGTCGTCTGAGGCCTGCTCCAGGTTTGCTGCGGCCTGCGTGCCCACGTCGCTCTGCACTCCCAGCCCGGCATGATACAACTTTCTGATCAATTTTCCAGGTTGTCTTGGGCTGGAAATTTGTTTCACTCTGTCTTTTTGTGGGTTCTGCTGCTTCAGAATTTGTTTAGAGACATTTTTTATGAGTATTTGGAGGGGTTTGGGGGAGAGCTCAAGCAGGGTCACTGCTTTCCCTCTGCCATCTTGGCTCCTCCCTTCAGTAAAGGCAAATTTAAAAAAATTTTTTTTTAATTAATTTATCTATTTTTAGTTTTCAACATTCACTTCCACAAGATTTTGAGTTTCAAATTTTCTCTCCATCTCATCCCTCTCCCCACCCCAAAACAGTGTGCATTCTGAATACTCCTTCTCCTAATCCGCTCTCCCTTCTATCTCCCCCACCCCCTTCTCTTATCCCCTTCCTTTTCTATTTTCCTGTAGGGCAGGATAGATTTCTATACCCCATAATGCAAAATATTTTTATAGTAAATATGGAGTAATTGGGGTGGGGTACAGCTGGGGAGATCAAGGTCTGATTATACAGGAGGTGATACTTAAGGCGAGCTTTGAAGGAAGCCTCAGATTCTAACAGGTAGAAGTGAGGAGGGAGGGCATCCTAGGCATGGGAGATGAACTGGGCAAAGGCACACAGATGGGAGATACAAGGTCATCCTCAAGAAGCCACAAATAGGTCACTTTGGCTGGAAAGTAGACTGTGTAAAGAGAGTGATGTTTCTTTAAGAAGCGCAGAAACGGGGCAGCTAGGTGGTGGAGTAGATAGAATTCTGGCTTTGGAGTCAGGAGGACCTGAGTTCAAATTTGGCCTCAGACACTTGGCATTTACTAGCTGTGTGACCCTGGGCAAGTCACTTAACCCCGGTTGCCTCACCAAAAAGCAAAAAAAAAAAAAAGAAGAAGAAGAAGCATGGAAGACTGAGCACCTACTATGTGCCAGGCAATGTGCTAAGCACTGAGGATGCAAAGAAAGGCAAAACCAGACCCCGCCCTCGAGGAGCTCCCAGCCTGAGGGACAAGACAGCAGACAAACCAGCAGGTACAGAGAAGACGTCGACAGGCTAAGTGAGGGCTTGTCTCGGAGGCAGAGCCCCCGATTAAAGCCCGGCAGAGGCTTCTTGCTGGAATAAGATTGGGAAAGCATGAGAATGCCCGCAGAGCGGCTTGCATTTTCTCCCGGATGCTGATGCCTCTTGAGCAGGGCAATGACAGGCACAGATTCACGCGTTAACAATGTAATAATAGTAATTTACATAGAACCTTAGAGTTCCTAAAGGTTTACACGTGTCGTGTTGTTTAATCCTCACAACAAACCCGACAAGGGAAGTGCTGCTATTATCCCCGTTTTGCTGTTGAACAAACTGAGGCAGACAGAGGTTAAGTGACTTGCCCAGGGTCACACAGCTGGTAAGGATCCAAAGCAGGATTTGAACTCAGGTCTTCCTGACTCCAAGTCTAGCACTTGTCCGGTATACTGTAGAAGAGGAGATGCTTTCTCACGAGTGCACTACCTCCATGCCTCTGTAGGCTCCTTCCAGCTCAGAAAGATTCTCTGAAGAAGAGGAGGAAGAGGAACTAGCCTTCTATTCCGTTGGGTTTTTTTTTTCCTGTTCCCAACATTTCACAATTTGGCCACTGGAGGGCGCCTGGATATTGAAGAATCCTCCCTTGGAAACTTTGGTGATCTTAGGATAAGATAGGAGGGATAGATCCTTGAAGATGTTCTGGGGTTCAGAGAATCCTAGAGACTATCTAGCCCAGCCCTCTCATTTTACAAATGGGGAAACTGAGGCCCAGAGAAAATGACCAGCCCAAGCTTACACACGTAGTAAGTGGAAAAGCCAGGATTTGAACCCAGAGCCAGGACTCTTTGTGTTACACCAGAAGCTATAGGACTGTAGGAATATGTTGTTGTTAATTGTTCAGTCGTTTCAGTTGTGTCCAACTCTTCATGACCCCATTTGGGGTTTCTTGCAAGATACTGGAGTAGTTTGCCATTTCCTTCTCCAGCTCATCTGACAAATGAGGACATTGAGGCAAGCAGAGTTATGTGACTTTCCCAGGGTCACCCATCTAGTAATCTCCTGAGGCTGGATTTGAACTCGGGGAGATGAGTCTTCCCGACTCCAGGCCCTGCGCTCTATGTACTAGGGCGCCACCTAGTGCCCATCATAGAAATATAGCATTCTAATTTGGAGCTAGAAGGCGCCTTAAAACTGCCTCACTGAGGAGAGGGATGATAATTTGATAAGCAGAACCTCCAATTCCAAAGCCAGGGCTTTTCCACTGAACCTCACAGCATCGGGGGGAATTCAAACCCAAGTCTTCCTGGCATTACGTTCATCCACAACGCTCTGAAAATTCTTTTGAAATAAATATTTTTTAGAGAATGCCTTAACCTGAGTACATTTTTTCCTTTAAAATCCCATGAACAGACTGAAGTTCTTCCCTAGCATCAAATGAAGGTTGGGTGTAGATGGACCGGCAGGTGGATACTTATTTTCATGATGGAATTAAGGGATGAAAAATTTCCTCAAATTGATAAAACACTAGCTAGCGAGGACAGGCATGAAGTGAGAACATGTCACAGCTGCTATTATTAGGGGCTTACTAATTGTCCTAATGAGCATAATTAAAATCTCAACATTAATTACTTAGTGAAATGAGTCTTGTTTGTGTTTTTTAATTTCTCTTTCCCGGATGTGCGTGCTCGCAGGTAACCTTTAGAAGGCTCTAACTTCAGTTCTGTTTCTTTCAGGTCGGCCCATAGGCTCTCGGAGACTCAAGACAAGGGAGGTTCAGAAGCTGCCAAATATGGACACGATTTTCCAGGAAGCCCTGCTCAAGATGAGAAAACAGTACCCGGGGTGTATTTCTCGGGAGGCCTGCGTCCGAGCTGTCCAGGCTGCTGTCCAATACCCCTACGCAGAAGGGAAAGAGAAAGAGAAAGAGCTGTTCCTGCACCTTCTCAGTTCAGGACAAGCAAGAGCCCTGCAGTATGCCTTCTTTGCTGAGAGATCTGTGGGGAAGTGGTCAACTCCCTCTGGGGCGTCATGGAAGAACTCCTCAGCACAGCCTGTCTCATCTGCGGCGGTTGTGGGTAAGAAGTCCAGATAGTCTATGCGATTTTCCACCCCAGAGCATTACAAAACACTTGCTTAGGTCCTAGGGCAAGAAGCCAAATCTCTTCAGGATCTGTGACCCTTTCACAGACACAGCACAATCCCTGTATGGCTTAGGAGACAGCCTTCATAAGTTACTAATGTTCATGGTTCTGTGGCTCTCTACCTGTTCGTGGGGTCACAGAATTACTGAATCAGAGAGGTAGGAGGGACCTGAGTTGGCCTCTTGGAAACTTCTCCCAGTGGCTCCTGGTTCTGTCCTTTGGGACCAAACAGGACATGTTTGGTCTTCTGCCCCCCTCAGTCTTTTCTCCAGGCTTAACCTTCCCTGAGTTTCTTCAAGTGGTCCTCCTCTAACATCAACTCCAGGCTCTTCCTCCATCCTCATCACCCTCTTCTGGATGCTCCCTGAGCTCATCAGTGGCTCCCCAAACTGGACACCAATGAAGGCTCTCCAGGTGACATAGGACAAAGGCAGAGTACAGAAGGACCACCATGTCCTTGTTCCAAGAAGATACAGCTCTCACTACAGCCCAGGATCACATCCACTGGTTTAGTTGCCTCATCTTATGGGTAACAGATACTAAATTTTTCATTCACCAAAATGCCCATATCTTTTTCAGAACAATTATTTTTTTTCCATGCCTGCCCATCTTATTTGAGCCATCCAGTGAGTTAATAAACACTTATGAAGTGCCTAGTATGTGCCAGACATCATACTAAGCACTGGAAGCCACATACTCCTGGGAGATAGACACTCTGGATATTAGTACCCCCATTTTAGAGGTGAAGAAACTGAGGCTTAAACTTACGTGACTTGGCTAAGATTGTATAACTGGTAAGTGTCAGAAGAGGGCTTTGAACCCAGGTCTTCCTGACACAAAGTCCAACACTCTAGTCACTCTCTGATTTCCTCCATTGACGGCAACAGATTTCAAGCGTCCCATGCCTTCTCAACCCAAAGGACTCTTCTCCATGTCTTCCCACAAATACTCCCCACCCAAAGTTCTGGGGGTCTTCTTCTGGTTCTTTGGACATCACGTACATGGTTATCAGTGGAGCGTGTGAGTGGACCGTGAGTCATTGCTCACTCTTGCCGTGTGATGAAGTCTTCTACTTCTCCAGCTGCATGCTTCTCTGATGACATCTTTTACTCTCCATCTCTTGGGCAGTTCTTGGTAGGTGATGTGGGGCAGCCTGTCTGTGCCTACCATGGGCCAACACGTTTCTGTTCGGATACAGCTTTAATTCTTTGAGGACTGTGATACTTCATGCGTGGTCACCGTGCAGCATCCTCAGGGAAAAAAAAATTAAGGAATTGACTATTTTTTTTGGGAACAAGCTTAGGGGATTACAAAACACGGCAGTTTCCCTGAAGGCAGCTCAGTCTGCTCTCCTATTCTGGACCTAGTGCACTGCCCAGTGCCTGTCTAAGCTATAGGCACTGATAGAGTCTACTGAGTATTATTGTCTGCATATTGGACATTTTTCATCCACTTGGTTTTTCTTGTGTGGATAGTTAGGCCCAATTCTTTTTTTTTTTCTATTTTAAGGCAATTGGGGTTAAATGACAGTAGTAAGTGTCAAGTGTTTGGCCTGAGGTCAGATTTGAACTCAGGTCCTCCTGACTTCGGGGCCAGTGCCCTATCTACTGCACCACCTAGCTGCCCAAAATGTGAAGCGCTTTTTTTTTTTTAATGTGAGGCAACTGGGATTAAGTGACTTGCCCAGAGTCACACAGCTAGTGAGTGTTATGTGTCTGAGGTCGGATTTGAACTCAGGTCTTCCTGACTCCAGGGCTGGTGCTCTATCCACTGTGCCACCTAGCTGCCACTAGGCCCAATTCTTAAGAATGATTATGGATCTTATTTAGGAGACCACACTTTTCTGGAGCTTGATGAGGTTAGTATTCTATCACCTGGAAACTGGAGCAGTGGCAGGACCTGTATGTGTCTAGAGAATCTCTTTTCTGTACTTCCTTTTGTACTTTTCCCATCAACTGCTAGCAGAGGAACTGGCATATATTAGTTACTTAAGGAATATCCATTGAATTAAATTAACTACATATGTAGGGCTAGCCAATAAAGGAAGTGCTTTTGAGTGCTTGACAAAAGCCCTTTTTGTTCTGTGCTCTTTAACTATTATGATATAATAATAATTATTATTAGTGGAGTTAATATTCTTAGAATATAACTTCTTGAAGATGAGGAGGGCGAGTAGGAGGAAGAAGAAAGCACAACAGGTTTTGGGGGGCCGCCAAGGGCATAGTCCAGGGATCTGTTCTTGGCCCTGTGTTATTTAACATTTTGAGCAGTGGCTTGGATAAAACCACAGGAAGCATCTTTGTCAATTGTGAAGGTGACACAAAGCTGGGAAATATAGCCATCACAATGGATGACTGGGTCAGGACCTTGACAGGTGAGAGCACTGAGTTGAATCGATTAAAATTAAACTTAATAAAAATAAATGTCAAGTCTTGAAAAGGAGGATCCAAAAATCAATTTCACATATACAAGACTGGGGAGGTGAGACAATAGTTTGTCTGGAAAAGACCTGGGGGGCTTATTGGACCACAAGCTCAATATGAGTCATGGTAGCAAAGAAAGCTAACGTGAGCCTAAGATTGCATTAAGGGAGACACAGCATCCTTTTTCTGGCGCCATGTCTACTTAATAGTGTCAGAAGGGACACAGCCAAAATGACTGTCACTGTGCTCTAGCTGCCTCCATTTTGAGGGAGGGCCAGACCAGCCATCCTTCAATCACCAGACTTTGATATCGTGCCGCTATGTGGGTGCCTCTTCCTGACCCCTGCTTTGTGTTATCTTTCAATCGGGAGTGTATGTCCTGCCACTGAGGGAGGGCACTGTTGTGTTGGGACCAAGGGCCAAAATAATGCATCTTGAGCCCAACTCCCAATTCTCTCCTGGTAGGAAAATTCTCCCACTGTCCTGGAAGCCATGAGTCACCCCCATCCCAGTGGCTGGGGCCTGCTGGGATCTCCTGGATGCTACATGGGCCTGGACACCTTTATCCAGAGACAGCAGTGCTTTTGCATAGGTGGGGAGGAATCATTACGTGTCTGGGCAGCCTAGGCTGCAAAAGAACCAGAAAAAGGTCCCTGAGGGTTGTAATAGCTGCCCAGACCTCTTGTGGGAGTGAGCGGCAGGGCCCAGCTGAGGCCTGGCTCCAGACTGAACAAATGAATGAATGAAAAATGCATTGATTAAATATCTAGTACATTCCAGGTACTTTGCTAAGCACTTGAGATACTCATACGAAAGGGAAACAAACTTCCATAGGGAGAGATAAAGGGGAATGGTACTCAGAGAAGAGAATTATGGTCTGGAAAGTCACAAAGATGGTGAGTGGAACAAGATGGTGTCTCCAACCTGTTTGAGCATGCCAAAATGGTCACATAACTAGTACGATGTCAGAGGCAGGATTCAAACAAACCCAAGTTTCTTGACTCTAAGGCCAGTTCTTGACTCACTCTATGTAGCTGCCTGTATAATTATAAGTGATAAACTTTTTCATCCACACGTCTGATTTCAGCAGTGGAGGGAATGAAGAAAAGGCTAGTGCTTGGGGTCCCAGAGGGAAAGAGCCCCGGTTTGATATTGTGTGATGACCAGTCTCTTTCTCTCTACTTAATGGAACATTTGTGGGGTGGGGTGGAGGGGAATCCATCCAGTTGTCCAGGGTCGATTTTAGCCTTTTCCCTGGTTAGATGCCTTGCTCTTTCTCATGTGGTCCAATCTCTTCCTTTATCCATAGGTTTGGGAACAATGGGAAGAGGCATCGTCATCTGTCTGATCAGGGCCAACGTCCCCGTTATTGCCGTGGAACAGGACGAGAAGCAGCTGGACCAGGCCAAAATGGTGATTGTCTCCCTTTTAGAACAAGAAGCCTCCAAATGGAAACAGAGTGGCCAAGAGTGGAAACGGCCAAGACTCCACTTCACCACCTCCCTGGATGAGGTAGCAGAGGTGGATTTAGTGATTGAGGCTGTTTTTGAGGAAATTAAGCTGAAGAAACAGGTCTTCAGCAAATTGTCAGCCAGATGCAAGCCGTCAGCCTTTCTATGCACCAATACCTCGGCTCTGGATATCGACGAGATTGCTTTGTCCACGCGCCGTCCTCAACAGGTCATTGGCACCCATTTCTTCGCCCCAGCTCATGTTATGAAATTATTGGAGGTCATCCCTAGTCGTTATTCATCTCCTACGACCATTGCCACTGTCATGAGCTTGGCAAAAACCATGAAAAAGGTTGGCGTTGTGGTTGGGAATTGCTTTGGCTTTGTTGGCAATCGAATGCTGTTTGCTTTCTATGAACAGAATAATTTCTTAATAGAAGATGGTAGCCAGCCAGAGGAAGTTGATCGAGTTCTAGAAGAGTTTGGTTACAGAATGGGTCCTTTTCGAGTGGCCGATCTGTCTGGGTTGGATGTGGGGTGGAAATCACGGAAAGATCGAGGCCTCACAGGACCTACCTTAGCCCCCGGGACGCCTGTGCGCCAACGTGGCAGCAAACGGTATTGCCCAATTCCTGATATTCTGTGTGAACATGGAAGACTTGGCCAGAAGACTGGCAAAGGCTGGTATCAATATGACAAGCCAATGGGCAGGATTCACAAACCAGATCCCTGGCTTTCCAAATTCCTATCTGAATACAGGCAGAACCATAATATTGAGCCACGGGTCATAACACCAGATGAGATCCTGGAGCGCACCGTGTATTCCCTCATTAATGAAGGCTTTCGTATCTTAGAAGAAGGCATGGCTGCTGGCCCTGAACACATTGATGTCATCTACAATAATGGTTATGGATGGCCGAAGCACACGGGCGGACCCATGTTCTATGCCTCCACAGTGGGACTACCTACAGTGGTTGAGAAATTACAGAAATATTACCAGAAGAATCTGGACATCCCCAAGTTGGAACCCTGCAATCTTCTGAAGAAGTTGGCCTCCCAGGGGAACCCTCCTCTTCAAGAATGGCAGAGCTCGGGAGGATTTCAAATCAGCAAACTGTGACTTCACTCACCTAAGGTCCCCAGGTGGGGCCTTCCACATACCGCCCTCAGGCAAACATTGTTGAAACAAATCAAAGCTCCAAGGCTTTTAAAAGACTTGCAAAGCAAAATCTAGGGGGAAGATCATGGGCGTGGTGACCCCTTCTGTGGGGCTGCTTCTGTACAGTGATTCTAATGATTCAATACTATGAAGAGCTTATGGGTCAGATCTTCTGGAGGCACACGGCCACAAAACTGCTTCCCAGGCATCGGACTGCATCTCTTTTGACTTGATTCTATCTTGTGAAAACAGTCCGCCTTGGTAATGTCTCAATGCCATTTGAATAAGAAGTGGTTCGGGGAGCATGTTGAGTATAAGATAGGCCCAGAGTCACTGGATCCAACCATCTCCACCAGCCATCACCCGATGCCTCTTCTCTCCTTCTTGGCTGAATGCCTTGAGAAAACTGCACTCAGTGACCCCAGTTCTTCTCTCACTCTCTTCTGCGCCCTCTAAGATCCGATTTCAGGCATCATCATTCAAGTGAAACAACTTTCTCTCAATTCACCAGGGATTTCTTCACCATCAGATCTGGTGGCCTTTGTTCAATCCTCATTCTTTTTTGACCTCTCTTTAGCATTTGATGCTACTGACCATCTCCTCCTGAACAGTCTCGTTTCTCTGGAATTTAGTAACACTGTTCTGTTCAATTTTCCTCCCAGTTGTATGACTCCTCCTCAGTCTACTTTGCTGGATCCATATTGTACCCATTAATCATGGATGTCCCCTTAGGTTTTATCCTTGGACCTCTTCTCTTTTCCATCTACTCCATCTCTCATTTGGTTCCCATGGGTTCAGTCATCATCTCTTTGAAGATGACTCCCAGATCTAAGTAAGCGACTTCAGTCTCGTGAGCTCCAGTCCAGAATCATCAACTGGCTGATGGGCATTTCAAATGAGATGTTCCATTGGCATCTCAAATTCAATGTGTTCAATATAGACCTCTTGTTTTTCCTCTCAAATGCACCCTCTTTTGAACTTCTTCATTATCATCAAAGACAGGTAAGCCAGCCTAGCTAAAGTAACAAGGAACCCTGAGGGAGAAACAGGTGACGGCATGTGCCAAACAGCTCAAACCACCAGCACCACCTTGACCCCCTCCTCTTTTCAGACCCTGATGGAGACAGTCCAAGACCCTTAATTCCAAAGCTTTGGAAAAAGTAGTGCCTCCCACACCACTGGACCTATTTCCAGTCCTGCCCTTCCAGCCACCTTTGATGGGAGCAGTCATCATGGAAAAGTTGTCTGCCTTTCTTACCAACACCAGCTGCCACTTATGGCTGGCAAACCCAAGAATCCTGGCCAAGGTAGCACCTTCCAGACCAAGTGTGCTGCTTCCAATCCAGCCTCCACAGTGATCATCTTAAGAAGCATCCCCTGTGGGGTTGCTATCTGGCAACCATATTTATTATGTTGCTATCATAGCTTCTGAAGATGCAGAGCAGAAAGTCTTCATGATCAAGATCCATGCCACTCAAAGAATTGGAAATTGAAGGGATGCCCTACAATTTGGGAATGGCTGAACAAGCTGTAGTACATGATTGTGATGGAATACTATTGTGGTATAAGAAATGATGAGTAGGATGCTCTCAGAAAAACCTGGGAAGACCTATATGAATTGATGTAGAGTCAAATGAGCAGAACCAGAAGAATGTTGTACACAGTGACAGCAATACTGTATGATGATCAACTGTGGAAGACTTAGCTATTCTCAACAATACAATGATCCAAGACAGTTCTAAAGGATTCATAATGGAAAAATGCTGTCCACCTCTGGTGAAAGAACTAAGGGAGTCTGAATGGAGATCAAAGCTTTTTTACTTTCTTTATTTTTCTTAAGCTTTTTTTGGTCTACATTTTCTTTTGCAACATGGGTAATATGGAAATGTTTTGCATGATTGCACATGCATAATTTACCTCAAATTGCTTCCTCTTAAGAAGGGGGGAGGTGAGGGAGGAAGAGAACTTGGAACTCAGAATTTTTTAAAAAATGTTAAAAATTTACGTATAATTGAGAAAAAAGTAAAATAAAGAATTAAAGGTTAAAAAAAGCAAAGACTCTCTGGGAAGAGGCAGAAAGAAGGCTGCAAGGAGAAATATCTGTGATATGACAACAAAAGACATCGATAAAAATATATTCAAAATAAAACAAAACAAAACAAAAAGGAAATAGGAAACAGATACCACGCTCTGCATCAAGCCTATGTTAAGACACTGTTTATACATTTAAAAAAAATAATTCTCATCACTGTCAAATGATTGAACATCAGAAATGGGGACAACTTTATCTGTGGAGATGATGTTAAAGAAGAATCCTTCTTTGCAGCTGCCCCCTGAAGGCCAGGGGACTTTTCCCTGTGATCTCCAGCTGAAACCTTCCCTATGCATTGTCTCCCTCTTTGGCGGGAGCTCCTTGAGAGCGGGGACTGTTTTCTTTTTATTTGTAACCTCTGTGCTTTGCACACAGTAAGTGCTTAATAAATGCTTATTGATCTATGCTTTCATTGAGTCATTCATTCAAGGGCACCCCTGACCCTCGCCCGGGTTTGCAACCTCAGTGTCCTCCCTGACTCCTCACTCTCATTCAGCCACATGTGTAACCAGTTGCCAAATCTGCCATTTCCATCTCCCCAACAACTCTCAAACACATCTCCTCTTCTCCGGTCACACAGCTACCACCCTCCTTCAGGGCCTCATCCTCTCTCTTCTGGACTGCTGTAATAACCTCATAATTGGTCTCCCTGCTCCAATCCATCTTCCACACAGATAGCAAAGGGAATTCCCTAAAGAGTAGGTCTGATCATGTCACTCTCAATAGACCCTAGAGATTCCCTATTACGTGAAAAAAAAATGAACTCCTTGTCTTGCATCGAAAGCTCCTCACAACCTGGTCCCTTCCTACCTTCCCAATCTTCTTACTCCAACTATGGTAAAGCCAAATTGGCTCCCTTGCTGGTCTTCACCTATGATGTGGTCTCCCATCTCCACGCCTCTGCATCACCTGTCTGCTGTGCCTGGAATGTCTCCCTATTCACCTCCAGCTCTTGGAATCCCTGCTTCTCTAAAAAACCAGGTTCAAATTCTGGCTCTTCCACTTACTTGTATGACCTTAGGCAATGACCTCACCTCCATGGGCCTCAGTATCCTCCTCTGTAAAATGAGGGAGATGGCCTCCAGTCTCTAGATCTACATTGCTAAGACTTTTATTGGAGAGGTGGGGGGCTAGGGTACGAAATGCTGCACCTACCGTTCGATGTAGTCAACACGTTGGTTAGCTTGTTGGAACTCTCTCTCTCTCTTTTTTTTTTCTATAATGGGAGGTACACACCATAGTAGAAGTTGTAATTGAATACGTCCCATATAAAACTTGAGCCGCCCTAGCTTCTTCTGGCTGACCACATGTGCTGGTTCATTGCGTGCTCCATGGGATGTGGTACCATCCAAGACATTACTTTGTTAGGAAGGAAGGTTCACCGGCTAGGAACTGGGGAGAAGGGCATATTTGGCGTCAGTGTCATGTGAAAACAAAAGGCGTCAATAAAACCAAATGAAACAAAAAGGATTCTTTTCATGAGTCGAAAGACAAAGGCCGAGGGAGGCAGCCTTCAACCGTCTCTTGGTACCAGAGTCTCCCACCATCTCTCCTTTGGTTAGCTTGAGAACAGGGAACAAGTCATCTACCTTCCAGGAAACTCTGTTTCAAAGGTACAGACCAGAGACTGTTTCTTGTAAGTGTTCAGCCATAGGCATCTTCCTTCACCATGAAAGAAAAAATTAGGGTGACAACAGGAGAAAAAAGATCTCTTTAGATTGACGTGCCCAGTGGGACGAGGCCTTTGCGTGAGCCCACATCTAGTCTGTTCTTAGTATTTAGACCAGCACTCAACATAGGTCGGTACTTAGACACTTGGACAGGCCTTTCAAATCTTGCCTGCAGACATTCAGGCATCTTTATGCAATATTTATTGGCCAGCTTTCTTCTGACTGAAAATAGCCTGTCGGGGTGAGAACAGGGAATCATGTTATGCTGGAACAAACAGACTGGGCACCAACATTACCGTGCTTATGCATGGGTTTTCCCAGGAGAGAAGAGACAGGTTTGGTATCATGGTCCATTAAGTATAGAGAGCATTAGAGGCAGGGCAAGAGGCAAAGTATGGGACCAGTTGACTCCCTTGCACCAATCACCCTAGCATTGGAAACTGGGCTGTAAATGTGCTGATACATGTTGGTTATTCTTGACCTTTAGAAGACAAGGTGATCTAAAGACAGGGTCTTGAGGTCAATGCCAGCCAGGTGTGCTGGTGAACCTGAGTAGGGCTGAGGGCAGCCAAGAAAGGGTGAGTCTATTAGCTGGGCCATGAAGAAGAAGTATGAATCAGCTGGCAGAGCAGAAATAATGGCTGTTTTGGAGTTAGAGGACATGAGTTCAACCTCTCTGGCCTCAGTTTCCTTGCCTGAATGTAGCAGGCTTTTAGCAGATGATGATTGCCCCCCCCCACCCTCAGCCTCTTAGCCTTGGTGGGTGTTAGCTATGGGAGCCAGCTGACAACCACACCAAACCCCAACCCCTCTGCCTGTAGCTTGATTTTTCCCCCTGATTAATTCTCCTCCTGAGTTCTAATACAATCAAGAGGTATGTCCTAATATTTTCTCATAGATTTATAGAAACACACAATATCTCATTAGTCAGTTAGCCCTGAGCCCCCACTACCAGTTTATTAAATAAATCAGAGAAACTTCTTTACCCATAAGCTTTAGTTCATCTCTTCCCACTCTCTTCCTCTCTCCCCCTTTCTTTCCTCCCTCTGTTTCTCTCTGTCTGCCTCTGTCTCTCTATGTTTCTATATATACATAACACTTTACATACATATGTATGTGATACATTTGTGTGTGTATATATGTGTATTACATATAATATAGTTTCATATATGTCATATACATATATATAATTCTCTAGTATTGTTGTTCAGTCGTTTCTTTAGTCATGTCTGACTCTTTGTGACCCCATTTGGGGCTTTCTTGGC